TCTTTGTAAAGATTATATTATTCCAACATTTTAGATCATTTTTTACTACACAGTTGGATAAATTTTAGTTTATCCAATTATTATAAATTTAGTTTATCAATTATTATAAAGTATTAATTATTATTTTATAAGGAATTAAAATTAACTCTTCAATTTAAAAAAATATAAAACACAAGTTACAAGATAAATATTTCAATACAATCAACAGATAAATATTTAACAGAATCTTCAATTAAAATAACTGAAATGAGTGTCAAAAATACAGAACAATTTCCAAAAAGAAAGAAAGTTTTAAACAAATATTTTAAATACACATTAAAATATAATTTTTTAAAATTTACTGCGCTTGTTATTTTGCTTGCCATAACAATAATATATATACAACAAAACAAATGTATTTCTATCGAAGAATATGAGATAAATGTGATATCTATGAATGATAATGAATCTGCGATATTAATTAAAAAAGAAAATTTTCAATATGATATAGTATTTAATGATACAGTATCTAGATTTCATAAAATAATGCAGGTGAATAATGCAGGCAGTAAATGTTATAATATTATATGCTGTAATACTATTATAATGATTTTTATTTTATAATGTTTATTCATTAGGAGGAATGTAACAATGTTCTTACTACATTACGCTTTGATTGTCATCCTGAAGACGGAGCATCTGAATTATCTTGTAAAAATAGAGGTTGTTGCTGGAATTCTTTTAACAAAAATATCTCGGCTAGAAATCATAATCCTTTGAATATTCCATATTGTTATTATCCAAGCAATTGGAGTATATACAAGTATACAAATTTTAGTAGAGAAGGAAACAATTTTTCTGGATTTCTCAAACGAATAAAAAACTCATTTTATGAAAATGATTTGCCACTCATTAAGATAGAAGCTAGCCCTGTGGATGATTCTATTTTACGTATAAAAATATATGATCCACTGAAGAAACGATATGAACCCCCATGGCCTCTTAGAACAGATTTTAAACCATTTTCTCAAAAAGATATAAATGCTAAATATAAATTGGACATTGATTGTACCAAACTTGGTTTTAAAGTATACAGAACTTTAGATGATACAGTGATGTGAGTAATATTTGAGAAAAATTTGAATTTTTAATTATCTAGAAATTTTAATAGTGATATAATTTTATTTTTAACATTTATCTAATTTTCATTTTTAGATTTGATTCCAGTAATGCAGGAGGTTTCATATTTGCTGATCAATTTTTACAAATAAGTACTCTTTTACCAAGTCATAATATTTATGGTATTGGTGAACACAGAACAAAGCTAAAATTAAATATTAATTGGCAATTGTTTACGTTATTTAACAAAGATCAACCACCAACAGAAAATGTATGTTGATTTCTAAAACATTGCAATTGTATTTTTTTTCTATTTGATTATTTTTAATATATGTTTGTGAACATATGAATTTTTCAAAATTTAGGCAAATTTGTATGGATCCCATCCCTTTTATTTCGTAATTGAAAATTCCGGAAACTCTCATGGATTTTTGTTTCTCAATAGTAATGCAATGGGTAAATAACATTCAAAGTAATGTTTTTTTAATTATACAATTTATTGAAACATGTATCGTAATATAAGTTATTTTTAGATGTTATATTACAACCAACACCTGCTATTACCTTTCGAACTATTGGTGGTATTTTTGATATGTATTTTTTTTTGGGTCCAACCCCTGCAGATGTTATAAAACAATATTCTGAGATAGTAGGCAAACCATTTCTCCCTCCATATTGGTCTCTTGGTTTTCATTTATGCAGGTAGAAACATTATCTTGTTGTAAAACAATCTTTATTATATTCTTATTATGTTTTTCAAAACTGTACAGATACGGGTATCGAAGCTTAGAAAAAACAAAACAAGTATGGAATAGAACCATAGCAGCAGGAATTCCATTTGTAATGTGTTTTACATACATTAATAAATATTATCTAAATAAATATGTAACAAATCAAGTTTAACAGGTTTGGTTCATAGATATTTATTTTTAGGACACTCAATGGAATGATTTAGATTACATGGATAAAAATAATGATTTTACATATAATTTGAACAAATTTAAGGATTTACCACAATTTGTGAATGAAATACATTCGGTTGGTTTAGAATTATAAAAATTATAACTTGTAAAAAGTGTGCTAATTCAATGTTTAATATTCTGTATATTACAGAGAGGAATGCATTATATTCCTTTAATTGATGCTGGAATATCTGGTTCTGAAGAAAATGGGACTTATTTGCCGTATGATGAAGGAGTAAAGAAAGATATATTTATAAAAGATGCAGCAACTAATGAGCCATTTGTTGGCAAAGTTTGGAATTTAGTTTCTACTGTGTGGCCCGATTTTACGAATCCCAAAACACAAAATTATTATCTCCAAATGATGAGCAATATGTATAACAATTTTACATACGACGGTGCTTGGATTGTGCGTACATATTTTTTATTAGTAAAAATAATTAATTTGAAGCTCTTAATATTCATTGTTGCCTTGCGTTTCTATTTATTATTAGGATATGAACGAGCCATCTAATTTTTATGATGGATATAAAAATGGATGTCCAAAAAATAAATTGGATTATCCGAAATACGTACCTAATGTTATTGGTAATATACTCGCGAAGAAAACATTATGCATGAACGCTAAACATTATTTAGGCGTTCATTACGATCTTCATAATACTTATGGCACAAGTCAAGCGATAGTAACAAATTAGTAAGTATACTAGTAAACAAATAGATTTATATATAAGTAAAGTAGAAAAATAATAAAGTAAAATAGATTTATATATATAAGTAAAGTAGTAGTTAAATCACATAAAAAGGTTTAAATAGATTTTGCTAATATATTATTAGTTTACTAAAAGAAAAAACATTGTACACCATTTACACCATTGTACACAATTTGATTTATTGATTTAGTAATATGCAAAAATTCTAAGAAACTGAAATTAGAAAAGGCATAATAGGAATTAATTTCATAGTCAAATTCCTTAATTGTTTTTCTATCTATAACTAAAAACAAACTTCATATTTCAAATAATAATGATATATGATATATGATTTGACTTTTTACTTTTTTTAGTTATGGTTAATTAAAAAATCTAAAAAAATTTAAGACAATATTGTAAAAATTAAAATTCTTAATCCAAAATATAAAAATTCACTATAAAATCTATATTTTTTATTATTTTCTAGAGTTTTTCTTTTTTCTGCGTTAAAAATTTGTAATAAAAAAATCCAAAGAAATTCTTTAACATACATTTCTAGAACTTTTATATGCCACTAAATAAGGAAAATAGAACAAAAAGTTAATAATTTGGATTTATCACATAATTATTCTTCTGATAGTATTGGAAAATTTAAAATTGATGTAAAACATGTTTTTTTTTTTCGTAAGTTATTGAATGGTAAAATCGATTTGAGGCCACTTTTATCTTTATCTTATAGAATGCTTGCTAAATCTTTTGATAATGTATGTACACAGTGCACTGACCAATATTCGTCAAAAAAGACCATTTATAATATCACGTTCAACCTGGGTGGGTCATGGACACTATGCTGGTCATTGGACAGGAGATGTTTATTCCTCATGGTAATTACTATACGTAATGTTTATTTTATAAATATTGAATATTTGCATTTCATACAATATATTAATCATTAGGCATGATTTAAAAATGAGTATCCCAGCAATTTTGTTGATGAATTTTTATCAAATACCTATGATTGGTGCTGATATTTGTGGATTCGATGGAAATACAACAACGACATTATGTAATCGTTGGATGCAACTCGGTGCATTTTATCCTTTCTCTCGTAATCATAATTCCGACGATACAATCGTTCGTATTTATGAATTTTTACGGATAAAACTTGGGAAGAGTTAATGGTATGATTTGATATGACATGTCATAATATTATATTTTATTGTGTAACATTTAGGAACAAGATCCAGTCGCTATGGGTGATTTAGTAATAAAGTCATCAAAGCGTGCCCTTACGATACGTTACTGGTTGTTACCCTATTTATATACATTATTTTTTCGGGCACATAAATTTGGAGAAACTGTAGCGCGACCATTGTTCTTTGAGTAATATATCTTTGACTACATATATTTCACCTATTTAGACTACATATTTTAAAATTTAATATTTTTTTAGGTACTCGAATGATTCAACTACATACGATATTGACACTCAATATTTATGGGGCAGTTCTTTGATGATAATTCCAGTTTTAGAAGAAGTAAGTTAAGGATCATATCAATAGAGCATTATTTTTTGAAATATTTAAATATTGTAATTCAAAAGCAATTGTTGCGCTATTGATCATTAGAACAAAACTAAAGTATCAGCTTATTTACCACGTGGATTATGGTATAATTTTTATACGAAAGAATCTGTTTTCGCATTGGGTAAATATTACACTATGAATGCGCCACTCGATACTATACCATTAATGATTCGCGGAGGATCTATTTTGCCAGCACAGAAACCAGCTAATACTACAACAAACAGTAGAAAAAATAATTTCGAATTGTTGATTACATTAGATCATGTGAACGAAGCAAAAGGAGAATTATATTGGGACGATGGCGATAGTTTAGGTATATATTGCATTAATATAATAATTAGTTTTGGTAATTATATAGAAAAGATTTTTTTATCGATTTCTAACTAATTTTTTTATATATACTTATAATCGCTTTCAAAGATATATGAACATGAAGGTACTAAGCTAAACTATCCAATCTTGAAGAATACATATTGCATTGATTATTGCTTAAGATTTGATTGTTAGTTTTAAATTCTTAGTTCTAAATTTTTTTTTGATAATAAAGAAAAAAAAGCAAGCATATTTTATGTGGAATTTTATAATATAGAGAAGAACACTCTTAATTGATTTTATTAATTTTACGAGAAACATTATAACGGATCTTGTCAGCAGTTTGACAATGATAATGTCATAATTACATTTTTTTTTTCATACTATACCCGCAAATTCCAATTAATACTAAATATACTAACAGCATTAATCAGATGTAATAGTTTTTTTTTTTATATAAGTATTTTTATTTTACATAAGCATTTTAATGTGTTCGATTTTTTGTAGATTCATTCGAAAAAAAACAGTTTGTATGGTCAGTTTTTGTCATCAGGAATAATACTTTATCCACTGCAAAAGCAGCAGAAAGTTCCTTTCATGAAAAAATTATCTTGGATAGAATACAAATATGGGGAATAATATCTAATATCTCACGAGTATCTTTAAATAATCATGAAATACAATTTAAATATAACATCAAAGAAAATGTAAGTTTTTAATCTTATAGTTAAAATGATGATGAAATATATTAAGATTGTTTTTAAGACAAATTTAAATTGTATTTTGTTATGTTTACTCTTCAGTATGTAAAAATATTAATCATCTTAAACAATTTTTCAGTGTTTGAACATAAACAATTTACAAATAGATTTAAAAGAAAACTTCTTGCTTTCTTGGGAATATACTCGCTTTGAACAAGACAATAACAAATGATAATTTTGTTCAAGATATATATATTGTATTATGCATAAAATTATTGCTGTTCGTACAAGTATGTTATATAAAATATGTATAAAATATATATACGATGGATTTTAGTATTATTGTTATTATAAATACTCTATTTGTATATTTCTACATATTAAAGCAAATATTGTTTGAATAAAAGAGAAAAGCATTTTATTGAAATAACCATACAATTGATTATACAATAAAGTAAATACATTATACAAATAATATAACATTTATGGCACTATAACGGGAAACGATAAGTATACATAAATCGAATAACTCTTAAGCATCCAACTCAAAAAGATACTTAAAGCTACAAAAGATACTTTAAGCTATAATTGCTCGAACGTAAATTTTTAAATGTGTAGCTTGTTCATTATTGGTAATAATGAAAAAGATAATAGCACAAGTAATCGATCATCACACAATATTGGTAGGTAATATTGAATGAAAATTGTTACTTTGGCACCGTGTAATGTATATAAAATAAAACAATTCGAAGCAGCACCATCGTTTGGAACATTGAAATCTTTACTTGAATTCTATATGTGTATTTACAATTATGCAAGCACTCCTTTGACCTCGATCTATATTCCGTGTTCTCTATGACCTTTATTTGCATTTCTACAACAGAAAAGTAGATTCTGATCTTTGGAATAAATTTCAAAGTGACTAATTCAGACTGTAGTCGTCTTTGTCAATATACATAGTAGGTACAGCTTACAATCTAGTGTATTTAACATATGATTGCTTGAATTTTTATGACATATATGTATACATATGTCGAACAAACAATGTGTATGATTTATCGAAATTTTTTAATACCCAAACGCCATCTGTCAGAAAATAATTAGTACATTATTTATATTATTTTTTATTTTTATCAGATTATTTTGTTGTACAAAATGATCTATAAAAATGTTTGATTCGATCGAGTCTTATAAAACAAATAACTACGAAATTAACACGATATAATAAAAAAGTGTTTTTTTAAAATATTTGCATAGTATAATGTTTTTAACAAATTGATAATTATTACTCATAATCATTAACGCGCTAAGAATATACATACTATTTCTATTACACACTAATAAAACAGAATAACATATATATGTGCATGCGCGCGCGCGCGCGCGTGTATGTATACATAATTTTTTTGTCTTTCTCAACTATATTAATCTTGTAACTTTTGATCATTATTGTCTGCTCACATTTACTTATCTCTATTTAAAACGTATAATCATGTGTTATGCGTACGAGCATATTTATTAAACGTATTAACATTAATATGCATGATTTACGCACCCGACGAATATACATTAAAGAGAATTATACAACGTATGAAAAACAGAAAATACATAAGGATAATAAGGCTCTTTAGATATTGAGAGACGGATCCCATTTGACAATAAGGCCACGAACACAACAAAGTTTCACATAATACCGCATGTTTTTTAGATGTAAAAAAAGTTCTACGAGGATGTTAGTTGTTTTGCGAACTCTTCGTTCGAATGTAAAGTAACGTATAGTCTAAAAAAGAAAAAAAAAAATAACTGAAAAATGGCAAGAAAGATATCACAAATAAATGAAAAATCAATAAAATATTATATATTAAACTTATACTTGTGCAATAATTTGCAATGATGCATGCATAAGTATAGATGTATAAGTATCTTGATTGAAGATACAAACAACATACAATAGCTTGCGTTACTATTTAGCCTCTTTAAGTTAAATAAAAATTATCTAAAAACTCGCACTGCGACACTTGTTAATAATTAATAATTCACACTTCGTGTAATAATTGTAACACTCGTGTACATGTTAACTTATACAACAGAACATTTTCTAATGATTTTTGTCTCTCTTTTCTTATCTTCCCGCTCTGTTTATTAGTCGTTAATAAAATATATATATATATATATATATATATCTTTCGCTATGGCAAATACATATACATATATTTATGTGTGTATGTGTGTATATATATATATGCTACGGCAAATATATATATACAAAAAAATGCATTTTTAATCTATTGCTATATGAATACCTTTCAATTTGTTGCTCACCATAAATAATGCTAATCGTCATCATTGACATTCATGATATCACCATATTTTCTTTTATAAATGATGGAAGCAACACAGCCTTTTAAATATTGTATAATAAATAAGACAGTCAATGACATAACGATGGGACAAGAGAAAATAGAATGATGCATGGCACTTCGAAAGAAGAAACATAGCCCGTTGATTGTAAAAGAATATCCATACAGTAGTAGATATACTTGAACGTTCGTTCGTTGACGAAAATCAACTTATAAAATTGAAGCATCATGCCAATCACACGTACAATCACAATGAAAATTTTGCCGCTCATATTGTCGCTTTATACTCGTCTACGAATTTATATATCTTCAGATTCGTTCGTACGAATTTCCTTGTACAAACAAACAAACAACATGGCACGCAATGTATAACTAGCTTATCACATAAAGAATTTAATACCAATTTCTCAATTTTAGATTGTTAAAACGTTGAAATATTCCTCGAATCCACCCGTTATTTATGCACAACTTGTTGTTACATTTAAAGAACATGCATACGTAGTAAAAACTGACTTAACATTATTAAAATATATGCCATCTCGTAAATCGATCGTCTCGTATTTGATTTTTCTTATAACACAAAAAAAAAAAAAAAAAAAAAAAAACAATAATAAAACAGTACGGAAGCTGATTATAACGATTTGCTTAATTATTATTACGAATATTGCATTTGCACATTGGACTAGGAAGTACTAATTTTATACTTAAATGGAATATCTATACACTGAAATTTTTAATAAATAATCGCGAATAATTCTGTTATTTACGATTAAATTATAACGAACGCATTATTAACAAACATATATGATTTCGCAGTTCGAAATCTTCATTCAGCTAATTTCACCTAGTTCCATCAGAAAAAGGAACGTTCTTACAGAAAAGGGAACTAATATAATATAAGATTCGTTACAAAGATCGTAATAATCCATAACTGGAGAAAAACAGTCTTGAATTTGAAAAGCCTCTGTTTTACAATTAGATCATAGTTCCGAAAGGATTTGAGGTATCAATCGGTATCTTTGTTAATCTTTGGTAAATATATAACTGCTATGTAGGCGATATTAAAACAAGTAGGATTTTTAATTTAAGTAGCAGTCAGTGTCTCTAAAATATCTTCGGGAGTCTTATTTAACTTGCGAAAATGTTCCCAATGTTCTTTAGGTACGGTCCATTTGAGAAATATCTCAAGATTCTTGGTGAGTGTTTCGAGTTCGTTAAGACCATTGCTTGTCACTGGATCTTTACCAGCAGATATCAGAGAATCGTAAAGAACCTCGTCAATTAGCCTTTTACCAAAGCCTAACTCGTCGAGTCTTTCTTGTTTGCTGATTCTCTTAAGAAGTACAGCGAGTAACAATCTCATCCTCTCGACAGTCATTATTTTATATTTGCTGGGTGACGGTGAGAATTTATCGTTGACTGTTTCACTGGAAAGCAGGGATGATGCTGTCGTTTGTTGTAATGTCATCGAAATCGATGTCGGCATGATCGTCGCGTTCGTTATGATTTTTGTAGTTCGAGCACTGGGAGCATCATGTTCGGCCTCGGATTCAGGGTGGCAAGTTTTCTCATGACACTCTAGATCATTCTTAATCCTGAAGAAGCTTGTACACTTTTTGCAAGCGTACGGTTCGTTCCTCCCATGGATACATTTCATATGCTTTTTCCAATGGGGTAGCTGTGTGAAACCGGCATTGCACTCGGCACACTTAAACGGCCTCTCGCCAGTATGTCTCCTCGTATGGAGTTTAAGTGCTGTTGAATGTGCAAATGCTTGCCAACATACCAGACACCTGAACGGTCTTTGACCAGAATGCGTCCTCTGATGGACAGTCAATTGAGATTTTTGAGCAAACCTTTGGCCACACGTGGCACAACCGTGTGGCCGATCGCGCGCATGCGTTCTCATATGTTGAGGTAGATGACCCTTGAAAGTCTTGTTGCAGATTACACAGAGGAACGACTTCACGTCTCTGTGAAGGCATTCTAAATGTTTTTTAAGCGCATCGCGCCGAACGAACGCGCGGCCACAAATCTCACATTTATGATCCTTTTGCCCGTTGTGCCGTTTTACATGCAACGCCAAATTCGCGGCGCAAGTAAACGTGCCTGAACACAAACCACAGTGATACGGTTTTACTTGGCTATGAGTGCGCCGATGCTGCACCAGTTGTCCACCTCTAGCGAAACTCTTGTCACATTCTGGACATTTGTACGGCTTGAATCCAGTATGCGTTCTCACGTGTAATTTCAATCTTTCCTTCAACGGGAATTCTTTGCCACATTCGTCGCATTTGAAGATCGGTCCCGCTCCGTGTACGATTTTATAATGATTGCGAAGACCTCCGCTGCCTTTGAATCGCGCCTCGCACACCACACAACAATATTTCTTCTGCTGATTTTCTTGTTTAGTTTTCATACTTGGATTCAAGCCGTGTATGGTAGTGTTCTCATCTTCACCGCCGCACATATCGTTTTCCTTCGAATATGGCGGCAACGATAACGATGATGATGGCGAAGATGATGAACATGACGATGACGCTGACGATAATAACGACGAAGACGATGATACTGGTGATAATGATGATAACGAGGACGGCGACGATGA